ACCGCTGACCAAAAGACTGCACAAGGGTGATGGTGAAAACCTATATGAAAACCAGAACACTGCATGAGTAGCCAAGAGGGGAGCCCAAAGGCAATGAATGCCTCATAACGTGCCACTAACTGCCATGGTGGAAGCACCTGTCCCAGGGCGCAGCATAACTGCTGCCTGCTACTCACAGGGGAGGAGGGGTGGAGGAGCAGCAAGCCTGGGGATCTGTGGTTTGATTGGGGGTGGATGGGGCTCAGGTAGCACTGCAGTTACCTCCTGGATAAGGAAGGCAGGGTGGCCTGAACACAAAGAAAGATCCCTGGAGAAAAGGGCAATTGAGATGGCAAATACCCATTCAGTCTGAGGCAGAAAGGGGCTGGAGGGGTACTCATGGTGGTGGGGGGTGGGGGGATGACACTGGGTATGATACAAACAGATCTTGCAAAGACTGCCTGGATATCTTGTTCAATGGCTCACCAGTGAGCACAGAGATCTTTTTGTGGCCATGAACTACATTTTGACATTTCACAAGCGGGACTGTTGGGGAATGACACTGGGAGAAATGATTTGCCAGCAGAGGATGCTGAGGTTGGTATTTCCGGTCCACGTGGGAAGGTTTTTCTGTGGAAGGAGTTGGCTGAGGCCTGAGGCTGAGGCTCAGGCCTTCCCCACCGGGGGAGCTTAGGCCCAAATGGAGGTATTTATTAGCTGACTGCATCCATTGCCGTTACCTTCTCCACAGATACAGCCATGCAGGCTGAGGGTGACCTCCAGCGCTCCCTGCCTACATCCATGTACACAGCTTGGAGCAGCAAGTCTAGAGAAGGGCTGAGATGACCTCTGTGGTCTCTACTTCCCCCAAACCCTTGCCCAGTCCTGACAGCAACGTGTCTAGTCCCTTGGCCAGTGTCCTTCCCTCCTGCTGATGTCCCTTTCCTTTCCCCCTCTCTGCCTTTCCTTAAAGCCTCACAAAATGGCTGTTTGTGGGAACTGCCTCCCCAAGAATGGCATCTGCTCCTGGAGACTGGTGGCTGGACCTAGGGGTGTGTATTTTTCCGATGCTTCCTCTATTGACCTTTAATTACACTGTTTGCCCAGCTTCCCAAACCATTAACTTCCACCTCACAGCAACTTCCCGTCAATTAATGGAGGGCCTGCTCTGAGCTCAAGCTCCTGAACACAATTAAGCGTGACAGTCCACAAATAAGAAAGAACTGGAGAATTAATTAAGGTCTAAACAAATTAATTACCAGTCCCCAATCGATTCCGATGCCAGCACACATGCTCCTGGGCTCACCGTCTTTCCTAACATCTCCATGTATAAATAGAAACTGAGATTTCTCACGTGATTGCTGTTTTAGACCAGGGGCATGAAGAGCTCTGAAACCACCTTGAGGGAGAGAGGGGGCTGCAGGGGCATCAAGGGCTTCCCATGAACTCAGTGCATGTGCACGTGTGCGTGTGCACATGCACTCACACACACACACACACACACACACACACACACACACACACACACACACACACACACACCACACACTTCCAGCTGAAAAGCTAAGGGCCAGCTTGGGGGGAGTGTGATCCTGCCACCTCTGGACACATCCCTGTTTCTCAGTTACTGATGGCAGGAGGCCTCGGAGGCCTGGCTTTGACTAGCAAAGTATAACTTTCAGCCAGTCTGAATTTGCTAATTCTTCTGGGAAATGAGCATGGCACACTTTGTTTGTTTGTTTGTTTTTTGGGTCCGGTCGTGGGGCTTGAACTCTGGGCCTGGGCGCTGTCCCTCAGCTCTTCAGCTCAAGGCTAGCACTCACTCTACCACTTGAGCCACAGTGCCACTTCTGGCTTTTTTCTTTTTGCTTATGTGGTGCTGAGGAATCGAACCCAGGGCCTCAGGTATGCAAGGCAAGCGCTCTACCACTGAGCCACCTTCCCAGCCCAGCATGGCACACTTTGTCCTGGGGTCCTCCTAGCACAAAATGAGGATCATTGAGAAAGGGGGGGGGTAGTGGGGAAGGGAGAGAGAGGAGAGTTATGTGGTCTCTAGGAGGTCCAGATCAGGCCAGCAGAAATCTGCTGAGGTGGCCCCAGCTGAAAGGGGCTCAAGTGAGGTCTGAGAAGGGTGGGAGCAGCAAAGTTAGACCCAAGGACCAGACATCTTGTCTCTGGGGATCACAAGTCTTTCTTAACATCATAGAGCCCAGAGAGGAGATGTCTTCTCTCATCAACCTGGCTTAGAGCTGGGCAGGAACCCTGAGAAGATCTGGGCAGAGTAGTGGGGAGAAGCACTTTTTCTGGAAACCTCTTTTTACACACATACACACACACACACACACACACACACACCCCTCAACAAGACTTAATATGAGCACTTCTATTTGCTCCTCTACTTCCTCCATGTAATCCTGTCTCCTTATCACGTCAGTATCACGAAGGGACAAATAATCCTTTTACAAGGTGAAGCATATCCTGAATATGCTTCTCAGAAGCATCTACCAATAGTCTAGGGTAGGCTGGTCTAGCCTGGCAAGCAGGGGTGAATACTCCAAGCAGGATGAGGATGGAAGCCCAGCTAGCCTGCAGTGGGGCACAGCAATGCTCTATCCTGGCCATGGCAACTGAGAACAAGGTACAGGGAGGTCAAGTGGTGAGAAGACGCTGACTTTTGACCTCCTGGTAAGTGAGGGGCATCCCTTTTTGCCTCACAGCACTGTGGCAGCACAGAGCAGGGCAGTTGCAAAGTGTCTATTTGCAGATGGGTCTGAGCTGCAGAAAGGGGCAGCTTCTTTCAAGATCCTGGCCAAGCCACAACTGTCAGGGTAACAAATCACACTACATGTAACTTGTGCAACTGGCTTGGGATATATAGAATCTCAAGTAGCCCAGCAGATACTGGACTTGAGTAAGGGGGCTGAAGGCTGTGTATGAAGGGAACAATGGGAGGGAAATCAGGCTGGAGCAAAGAGTGGCAGGCAGAAAGGCTCAGAAGGAAAGAAGGGCCTGTCCTCTGAAGGAGACCCAGAGAAGTTAAGACCACCTCAAGGTCACACAGCAAGATGGCTGCAGAGCGGGGCTGGAACAGGCCCCTGGCAAAGTTCTTATCTGAAGCTTGGCTCAAGAACAGATTACATCTGGTGGAGTCCCAGATCCAGTTCAGGGCAGCTAACAGCTGCCCCTTCTCAGGCTGTTTTTGACCCTCTAGCCCAATAACCATGAACACCAGTTGGGCAGCCACGTTGGCTCAATTAGGCCCTTAACGAAGTTAGATCTAAAGAGTTATTCCATTAATGGCCCATAACAGAAATAGCTGAGAGTTCATTAAAAGTGTGGAGTTGCTATAGCAATTATCTGGGTTGGCTGAGTGGTTGGTTTGGGGGGTTCATTAGCCTCTGGGCCATTGAAGAGGTGAGATTGCCCTATACACATCCCCCACCTTCTCAGGGGGACTTCGCTGGTGCTCTAAAGCACTTTTCTGTCGATAGAGTATGGTCTGTGGCCTCATTTCCTTCCTTCTTTCTTTCCTTCCTTCCTTCCTTTCTTCTTTCCTTCCTTCCTCCCTCCCTCCTTTCCTTCCTCTTTTCTCTCTTTCCCTTGCTTTCTTTTTATCTTCCTTTCTCTCTCTTTCTTCTTTTCTTTCTTTCTCTTCCTTTCTCTCTCTCTCTTTCCTTCTTCCTTTCTTTTTTCTCCAGTACTGGGTTTTACTCTGGGCCTTACACTCACTGGCTTACTCACTCAGTTGTCCCTTACCACTTGAACCATGCATCTAGCTTGACTTTTGTGGGTTATTTTGGAGACAGAATCTGACAGACATTTTGATCTGGCCTGGCTTTGAACCAAGATACTTTAGATAACCATTTTCTGAGTAGCTAGGCTACTAGTTGTTCATTTCTTTTGGAAAAAAAAATCTATCATATGTCTATGTCCAAACAAGGTATGTTTCTTTGTGGTATCCTAAGGGCCAGAGGAAGCCTTGACCCTTTTTTGAGACAGAATCCCTTGACGCATGAAGCTGACAGACCCCCCTCAGAACAATGCATAAAACTAATTCGAAGAATTACTAAGAGATTTCATTGGAACAAGTTATCAAAAAAATTTAAATTGTGATTTAGTAAGAGATGTACCTTTTTCTGTTGTCACTTGTGAGGTTTGAACTCTGGTGCTATCCCTAGCTATTTTTGCTCAAGGCTAGCTAGCACTCTACCACTTTGAGCCACAGAACCACTTCCGATTTTCTGGTGGTTAGTAAGAGATAAGAGTCTCAAGGGAGGGGCGGGGGGCTGGGAAAGTGGCTCAGTGGTAGAGCGCTTGCCTTGCATGCCTGAGGCCCTGGGTTCAATTCCTCAGCACCACATAAGCAAAAAGAAAAAAGCCAGAAGTGGCGCTGTGGCTCAAGTGGTAGAGCACTAGCCTTGAACTGAAGAGCTGAGGGACAGCGCCCAGGCCCAGAGTTCAAGCCCCACAACTGGACCCCCCCCCCCCCAAAAAAAAAAAAAAAAGAGTCTCAAGAGGACTTTTCTACCAGGACTTCAAATCACGATCCTTAGATCTCAGCCTCCTGAGTAGCTAGGACTATAGGCATGAGCCACCAGTGCCCGGCTGAGATATACCTTTTAGCTAATGAGTTAATAAATGAGATTTAGTAGTCACTTGGGATTAGTGTTGAGCATCCATGACATTTTAAGGTCACGAAGTAATAACCATGTGACATTAAAGTAGTAGTGATTTCTACTGGTGACAAAGCCACAGGTCCTGCTTATAGGCCCTGAGTTCAAGCCACAATGCTGGTGTATGCATGCATATTCACACATATACGCTAATCCCTGCACTAAAAGCTGAACCTCAAACACAGAGCTAGCCATACTTTTTCTACCTGCACACATCTTGCTCCAGATACTCCAGCCCAGAGCCAAAAGGCATCAGGAGAGGTGTGGATGAGCCATCTCTCCAGCTGACAGGAACCTCAAACACCCTCCCCGCACTCCCATGGCGTCTGTGCTTCGTGCACATCTTACCTACAGCAGGGAATGGCACGAATCTCTGGACAAGAAGGCGGGTGGCTGGGGTGAACTTGTTGGCTTTCTGAACCAGGACATTAAGGCCCACCTTCAAAACAAAAACAAAAACAAAAAGTGCATGGTGGTGCCCCAGAGGATCATGGGAGGGAGGGACTAGAACTGGAGAAAAAGCAGGGAGAAGAGATCATTGCCCCTCTTCAAGGGCGTCAGGTGAACCTTCCTGAGAAGGTACAATCCCCTCTCAGCCTCACTCCCCACTCCCCAGGCACAGCCCTGCAAAGCCAGTTGCATTAGAAGCTATCAGTAGCTGGTGAGTCTTCTGGTCTAGGTAGGGTCTTTGTCAATGCTAGTCTCTGGGCCTCTGATGCTCCACCCAATTCAGGCCACACCCATTGTCTCCTGCTCACCCCAGAGTTCTACCTCCACAATCACTTACCAGCAATTTGACCTGAGGCATCAACCTGTGACAACCGTGTATGTAAAGTGTTAAGCATGAACTTGGCACGTAAGAAGCCTCAATAAGCCAGGCGCTGGTGGCTCATGCCTGTAATACAAACTACAAAGGAGACTGAGATCTGAGGATCACAGTTCAAAGCTAGCCAGGGCAGGAAAGTCCATGAGACTCTTATCTGCAATTAACCACCTGAAAACTGGGAGTGGAGCTGTGGCTCAATGTGGTAGAGTACTTTGAGGAAAAGAGCTCAGGGACAGCACCCAGGCCCTGAGTTCAAGCCCCACACTCGAAGAGGAAGAGGAGGAGGAGGAACAGGAAGAGGAGGAGGAAGAGGAAGAAGTGGAAGAGGAGGAGGAGGAGGAGGAGGAGGAGAGGAAGAAGACTCAATAAATGTAGCTATCATGTAATAAAAATGAAAATGACATTACCCTCCCATATCCTCAGAACCACCTTCCCTGCACTCAGTCTGCTGCTCATGGCTCTGATGCCTTCATGAAACCAGGATCACAGGCCTTTTTCATTGTTGTATGCCCAGCAACCAGGCCTGCATCTCTAGTGGCATGTAGTATATGCTCAACTAGCTGATTGTTGAAGAATAAGTGCATTGGCCAACAAATGATGACGGGATAGAGCTCACTACAGACTAGAAAGGGCTTGTTGGAGGAGAGGCAGGCAGGTGAGGCCACCAGAACTTTTTTTTGGGAAAAGCACACGAGCAAATGTGGAGAGAGTACAAATAAGATGCATGTGGCCAGACCAGTAGCAGTGCATGGAAGCCTCTGCTCCTGACACTGAGGTCAGAGCCTTGTCTTGACATTCTTCCTTTTCCTCTGGCTTCCTGTCACCCATACTGGCTGGTAGTTTGAGCTTAGATAGAAGTGGTCAGAGAAGATCCCTTGCCTCTTTTAGGCCCTGTTGAACTCTATGGGCCCTGGACTGACATTTGGCCATATGAAGAATTCTTAGGAAAATCTGTACCTTGTTTGTTTTCCCCCTCTGCCCAAATGGAGCCCCTGTTTGGTTAATTTCTATTTTGTAGCTTATTTGGAGGCTGTTAAAAACAGACCCTGGGGACCCTCAGCAGTGATTGTTCCGTATCTCATTATCTTTCCTGAACCTGATTATTAGCTCTGATTTTTCTGATCGCTAGCTGCTGTTCATGATGAGTTGTGTGCCATTAATGCCAGCTGGTTCCCTTAAACAGGACCCACCATGCCAGGGAAAACGAGCTGGCATTCTAAGCTCCCAGCCACTTGGCTTTTTAATTTTAATGGGCTCAACCAAATGTTCCAGGCCAAAGGGACCTGAGAAACCAGAACAGACGGGCTCCCAGTCCCCAGTCTGCAGTCCACACTGGGTTTCTTCCCAGGCTGTGGCTGTCCAAGGTATGGGACAGTAAGGAAGAGTTAGGGTAAGAGGCCACTTGTTCCCATTGCTTATGGGCCCATCACTGGTGGGTGGATATCATGACCACCCTGCCTCCTCGTGAACCCGCGACTATGCGCAGGCCCTCTCCACACTTTGTGGTCTCAATTCAGGCTTGGGTATGTTGGCCTGCTCTCAGATACATCCAAGTACTTCATTAAATCTCACCCTATCCACATAAGGCCCACCATTTGTAAAGCTTTGTGCTTTTTGTTGTTGTTGCTCATGGGGCTTGAACTCAGAGCCTGGGCACTGTCCCTGAGCTTTTTACCTCAGGGTTAGCCTCTACAGCTTTTGAGCACCACTTCTGGTTTTTTGGTGGTTGATTGGCGATAATAGTCTTACAGACTTCCCTGTCCAGGTTGGCATCAAATCGCGATCCTCAGATCTCAGCCTCCTGAGTAGGTAGGATTACAGAGGTGAGCTACTGGTGCTTGGCTTAAAACTTCACTCTTAGCAGTTCAAAGCTAGCCCCAGCAGAAAAATCTCTGTGAGACTTTTATCTCCAATTAACCACTCAAAAACCAGAAGTGGCACTGTGGCTCAAGTGGTAGAGTGCTAGCCTTGAGCACAAAGAGGCACAAGGCCAGTGCCCAGGACCTGAGTTCAAGCCCCATGGTGGACAAAAAAAAGAAAAGAAAAGCTTGGTTCTTAACCATGTACTATGCACTGTGTAAGGAGTGGTGCTTCAGTGTCTGAGTGCCATTGCACCCTGGTGGTCTGCATCACAACAGTAGTGTTGACAAAATGCAAAGAGGCTGGCTAGCACCAAGAAACACAGGTGGGGTAGGGGCTTCACAACATAACTAGTGTCATGGGGCCAGTCACTGTATCCTTGAGTACCAACATCCCTCAGGCCAACAGCAGCCTGATTTCAGAAAGGCTGTAGAGGAGACATTCAGTGGGACTGGAGTAAAGTCTCACCCAGCTGCATTCTCCATTAGCCACACATGTGGCCGACCTGGGGGAATACCACACTTGATGCCTTCCCACTCTCCCTTCACCTGCCTGCTTCTGTCGTCTGCCCCATCCCCTCCCCACACCAGTCCACGTTGTCTTTGAGAATGGATTTGGACTTGCTTAAGGGTTGATCACCGCATGGAAGGGCACCAAGACACTTGTGTGATCACTTGGCCATGATGGCTTGCAGGCTCCAGTCACCTGGCCATGGCCACCCCATTTCCACCCCTCTTGGCTCCTCCCACAAACAAAATTTTCCCCAGCCTGGCTCTCCCTCACCTCCTTACTTTTAGCCTAAACACCAGGCCTCCGCCTGCCTCAGGGTGCCCATTGGATACTCTAGTCTCTGGAAAAGCCTGGAACCTATCACAGTAAGTACATATTTATTTACTTTTGTGTGTGTGTGTGTGTGTGTGTGTGTGTGTGTGTGTGTGTGTGTGGTCCTGGGGCTGGAAGTAGGGCCTGGGCAGTGTCTGTGTCTCTGAGCTACTTCACTCAAGGATAGCCCTTAACCACTTGAACCACACCTCTGCTCTACTTCTGGCTTTTTCCGTGTGTGTGTGTGTGTGTGTGTGTGTGTGTGTGTGTGTGTGTGTGTGTGTGTGTGTGTGTGTGTGTTGTTGTTGTTTTGCTTTTTTTTTTTTTTTGGTGGTTAATTAGAGAAAGAGTCTCACAGACTTTCTTGTCTGGGATGGCTTCAAACTACTTTCCTCAGATCCTCAGATCAACCTCTTGAGTAGCTAGGATTACACCAGTGCTTCACGCCTATAATCCTAGCTACTTAGCAAGCTGAGATCTAGAGGATCATGGTTCAAAGCCAATCCAGTAAGAAAAGTCTGTGAAACTCCTCTCTAAAATAACCAGTATAAAGTGAGCTGGAGGAATGGCTCAAGTGGCAGAGCCCAGCTTGTGAGCAAGCAAGCCAAGCAAGTTCTAGGCCCTGAGCTCCAGCTTGTGAGCAAGCAAGCCAAGCAAGTTCTAGGCCCTGAGTTTAAACACCGATACCATAAAAAATAAAGATAAAAACAAGGATCTGATTAAGAATTGAATAGTATAGGAAATTTTTTTTACCTGCAGACTCTTCACTAATGATCTTTTGCTCCCAACAAACCCTAAGCATGGGGACACAGGGCTTTTATCTCTCTTATTCCTCGATGACATCCAAGTGACTGCTGAAATTAATATGGTGGGGTGGGGGTGAGGGAGGTTGTAACCTAAGCTTCTAGAATAAAATGAATGGTCGGATATCAAAAGATAGGAAGAAAAACAAACAAGAGATTTGCTTTGTGAAGCACTGCTATCCATCTTAGCAATCATCGAGAACCACACCTCCCAGCCCAGATCAATGACTTGCTGAGAGGATCTTTTCACCTCTCAGCCAGGAGGAGGACCCAGGAGGACAGGCCTCAGAGATAAAGGTTGCCTAACAGTTCTGAAGAGTGAGTAGTGAGTATGAGGTGGTTAGGTGGGAAGGGAAGTGGGGAGGGGGGCTCAGGAGACGTTCAGAGCCAGGAAATACCAAGTTGCCTCTGTAGAGTGTTCAGAAGACAGTCTGCAGCTGGATCTGCAAACCTTACTGCATGTGCTATGGGGGTCTGAGTGGTCCTGAAGGATGAAGAGGAGACAGGGGTAGCATGAGGTCAGAATTTAGATGCAGTCTTGGATGGTAATTTTTTTATACACTATATGGTCAGGGGATTAGGTGGGTCCTACAGGCTGGGATGGGTCAAATTGTTTATATAATACCACAAATACCCACCAGAGGGCACTCTTTGTAGAAAAAAACTTGAATACCAAGTGGACTGATGACCTCTGTGGAGGTCAATTGTCCTTCAGCCCCAGCCAGGCTGTTGCTGGGCAATGGGATCAGGAGCAAAGGGGCAAAGGTGGCCAGGACCTGGTTATAAATAGGCTAAAGTTCCAGTCAGCACCAGCAGTGGCTGAGTGGACTGTTGGGGTGCTAGTGGTAAGCATGACCTCTGGACTGTGCCCACAGGGCCCAGTTGCCACTAAGCAGAAAACCAATTACATCAGACCCCTCTATGTAGGAGGGGCCAGCACCTTGTCTCCCCAGAATAGATGTGGAGCAACTTTTCATGTGTGACTTGCCATTGCCAGCATTACCATCTGCAGGCTTCTTAAACACTTCAGATTCTGTTGTGGGGGTCCATGCAATGGCCCTTCATAGCAAAAGCAGTGGGACAATAGTCTGGTCCCTATTTCACAGGTGCTGCTCTTCCCCAAACCTCCTCATCCTCTGAGAAGAACAGAAAAGCTTGAGTACCCTCCCTCCCCCATCACTGCAGAGCCAGCCAGGCCTATCTTCCAGGAGCCAAGAACAAATATATCCAGCTGACTTGACTCTAACAAGAAGACAGAGGCTCAGAAACCAAGAACAAAAGTGGATGGAGGGTCTAAGAAGCCTCTCCAAAGTTTTCTTCCCATTTCTGCTGCTCTCAGGGCACCTGGGGAGGAGTCAGGCTAGAGAGGCAAGGTACAGTTCTTTTGCCTGGAGCTAACACATTATGTGGCTTTTTAACTTCCTAATTCCACTGGGGGAGCAGGAAACAAACAAATAAATAAGAGGGGGGGGTAGGAGGGGAAGCAGAAAAATGTTTGAGGAAGCCTGAGTAGACTCTGTCACTGACTTTACCCTAGGCCTTTTTCCTTCATCTGTAAAATGGACGTACACCTAAATGGTGCTGGCATAGGGTAGCCACTCCATGAGCCATTGTTACTATCATGATTATTGGCTAGACTGACAATCAAGGGGACAATGAGAACTGCAAGGTGTTGGGGTTTACTCAGGGTTCCTCTGGTCCCCTGCTGGTAGTAAATTCATCCTAGGAAGGATGAAAGAAAGACCCAGATCCTTAGCAATGGAGGTTCACATTGCCCCAGCAGAGAACTTTAGCCAGCAAAGGCCTAAATGAAGGTGAGGAGTTGGGGAATTGGCATAAAGCCAATGTATCATTATCAGGCAGCTCCTTATGAGTCAAGGAGGACTTTAGCTCTGTCTTCTCTGCTCCATGCCCATCCTCACCCTAGGAACCTGGATGCCTGTATCCCTGTATGGGAGGTCTGCCAATCCATGACCATTTTCCCAGTCCACTGATGCCTGAGCCCCTGCCATGTCCAGGGCCCGAAGCCTGGGCTGGGGTTCCTGATATGGTCTTTACCTACTGAGCAAGGTCCCCCAGCATGTCATGACAGCTTCTGCTACTATTCTGTTTTGTCACTATCACCATCACCTCCTGCCACTCCTGCATGGCAGCCACATGCATTTTCCAACAGGGTCTAAATCTGTTTTTGAACTCCTGCATGCCTCTGTGTGTGTGTGTGTGTTTGTGGGGGGAAGGAGTACCCTCTCTCTGGGACACCCATTCCTGCTGGCCTCTGGCCTTCTCCATTGGTCCTATCAATCAGCCCAGTGACAGTAAAATAGGTGCCTGAAAGTCAGTGTCACCATGATTGTGACTGCCAGTGTTGGTCACTTTCCTTTGTGGCATCCCCAAGGTCACATCAGTAGATGTCCCCAGGCTCTGATAAGTGTCTGACAAGAAACAGACTCTGCAGGAAGTCAGCAGGGTCTTGCCTGCGCCTTCAACTCCTGAACACAGAGAAGCAGCCTACAAAAGTGCTCCCCAAACTCCAGAATGAAAACACAATGAAGACTGAGAGAGGCTTCCTTTGTTAAAAGACAGCAAACTGTTAGATTTCAAAAATAACTTAAGACGGAATTTCTTTTTTATTCCCAAGCAAGAAGGCAGACATTGCCAAATCTATTTAGGAGGTTCACTAAGAGGCTCTGAACCCCGGTGGCCCTGGATTCAGCTTCATTAGGGGACATGCAAACTTGGGGTTTCCTGATTCAGGTGGGGTGGGGTTGGGGGGACTGCTAACAAGGCCAAGAGCAATTCTGGGAGTAGGGGAGGTCTCTCCAGGGCCCAGAGAGGAGGCTGGCCTCTACCCTAGCTCCCCTCAGTCTCAGGGACCTGCTCTCAGCCTGTCAGCCTCCATCCAGGCCGTGTGCTTGTAGGGACTCGTTTTAATTAATGCCAGAGCTGGGCCAACCACTGGGGCCGTGACACTTGTTTGCAGGTCATCTCCTCCTAACAGGCTCACTCTGGGAGGGGATTTGTCACTAATTGAAGCAGAGATCAGTTAATGAGGCCGAGGGGCCTGGGGTTCCAGAGAACAAGAGAAAGGAAAATAAAATAAAGCCTCTTTCTTTAGAGGTTTTGTGATTTACACACACAAAAGAAAAGCAAGCAAGCTGCAGATTTTCCAAGTCAGAAACTCCGCTCCATCTGCCAAAGCGAGCCCCTCACTGCGTGAAGACGTGAAGACTTCAGGCGGAGGGGCGCTGCCACCTCTAAGGCTTGTAGATGGGAGAGGAGGGGGCCTCCTGAGGCCGGCAATCAATCAGCAGCCTAATTAATAGGTATTTATGGAGCAGTGCTCTGTGCTCCCCTCTGTGGGGGAGGAGACAGGTGCCTGTCCCTGGTTAACTTGTAATCCAGCTGGGGAACAAGACTCGGGTTGAGGAACAATGAGAAGACAGGAACACGGGCAGGGCATGACTGAGTACGGGAAGAACAGAAGTTTCTAGGATTTGGGTCAGAGGAGAGGAGCATGGGCCAGCAAGATCCTCATCTCTGGGGCTCTGGGTCTAGGCAGAGAGGAGAGAGAGGGTGTCCCTAGTGTGGGCACAGCTCAATGTGAGGCCGAGTCCCTGCCAGGTAGAGACTCCAGCTTTGGGAGCCCTTAGAGGCCTCCAATTCTGAGTAACACTGCTGGTCCTGGTCTTGGGAACCCCCAGTCACCACTGTGGACGAAGCTGGGCCCTGGGAAGTGCAGGGATGAAATGCTAAAACACCTAGGGTGGAACAATGAGTACTGGGACACAGAGAGACCAGAGCTACTAAAAGAAGCTGAACTCCTGTTTCTGGAAACCCAGGCCAGGGAAGGCCCCACCAAGGCAGCAATCCCCTTCACTAGAGCCTTGCCCCGCTCAGCCTTGCTCTTACATAGCCTCATCCCAACAGCTCAGGAAGGAAAGGAGGTTGGTGAAGCTGTGAGCTAGATAGACCCTCAGCACCTTCACCCTAAGAAGCAAAGAAGGGCCCCGGCCTCAGCCCAGATTCAGGAACCCTCAAAGTCCCAGGCCAGGTGGCAGAAGTTAGAAAGCCATCTAAATAAGTTTGGCAAACATGTGGCTTCTTACTGGTGGTAAAACAAGGATTTAGGGAAGGAAAGAGAAGTTGGGCACATGAGATGGGGCACCCCCCCACCCCCTACCCATAACAGCCACTTGGAAATAACTTAGTCCATATGGGAATAAACTAAATGAGGCCATTTCAGGACAATTGTAAAACTCTACTTTAGAAGAATAGCACATTAATTATGGTGTAGGATATAATAGGTTATTACATAGTAGTGAACTCGTGTTTATTTCATGGCATGGAAAAGATGAGGAAAGGACTTTTACCAAAGGCTTAGTACATGCAGCGTCTCTCATTACATGTGAATATGTTTAAAATATTTTTTGTCCTGGGGTTTGAACTCAGGGCCTTGTGCTTGCTCTGCTTGCTTGCTTGATTGGTGCTCTGTCATTTGAGCCATGCTTCCAACCAGGCTTTTGCTGGTTAACTGGAGATGGAGTCTCACAGACTTTTTTTTTTACTTGCAGTATCTTTAATTATAAAATATTATAAATACACCTTGACAATAAATACCTAGAAGAAACATTATGAAAAATAGTAATTTGTTTGATAAATACAAATTTACCTACTAAAAAATTATAAACAGAAACAGGAATCAATGGAGGAGATACCTTATTAGGATGAGATTTCTTATCAATATCACAGACTTTTCTGCTCAGGCTGGCTTCAAATCACAATCTTCCACATCTCAGCTTTCTAAGTAGCTAGGATTACAGGCATGAGGCACCAGTGTCTAGCTGTGAATGTGTTTTGATTTGCATTTTCTAATAATCCATGTTATGTCTTCATAGTGTTATTCGTGTACGAAATGATAAAGTTGTGAAGAGATGCTTTGTTCTGTAGAGTTGGTTACTGAAGGCTACCTGAATGGAGATCAAGGGTGGGACAAGATCCCCAAGGCTTGATTCTCCACTGGCTCGGGCCCAGGCCCATTGCTGGATAGTCTGCCCTCTGTCTTTATGCTGGAAACCTAGCATCCATCCATCCTATGCTCATTCAGTCAATCTCCAACACTCCCCTAATAAGTAACTTCTCCATTCTCATAAAGCTTGTGGAGAGTCTGTGGACCCCCCATTGCATGGGCTACATTACTGGCTGTGAAGACCAGCTGCTCTGAGGAACATGGTAGGTCCATGCAGGCCCCCCTTAAGAGTAGATACCCTGACCTAGGTGCTCCTAGAGCCTCTTCTCTCCTCCCACCTATTCTCCAAAACCTGAATTACTAGTGTGTGCTCTCACTACCAGAGCCTCTTCTCTGCCTAGAAAGCCTTCCCAGGCAGTCTGTCCATAGACCCCATCCCCCATGCCCTTGCCCATGCTGGCTCTCAAACAAGGGTCCACCTGCAGTGTTGATCTGGGGGAGGGGAGGGAAGAGGAGTTACTCACAGCAATGGAGACAGCACTGATGACAGCCCCTAGGTAGCCCTGGATAAACTTGGATGCAGGTGAAGGCTGGAAGACAGTGTAAATAAGGTACATAAGTAGGGCACTGCTTGGTGCCAATCATGGTGGTATGTTACACCTGGGGAGGAAGACTGGGTCACCCTCACTGAATCCATACAAGTGAAGGGCAGCAACACTCACCTTGGTAGCATTGCGGTTTGCATAGTTAACACAAGCATTGTGGCTCTGGTTCAACCACTGAAAGGCAATGAGGAGAGAAGTCAGGAAAGGCCTGGTCACCTTTCTGGAAGGCACAGCTCTAGAAAGATAACTGTCTCTAGTGCATAGATGGTTCCCTATGACCAACTAATTGTCTCACTTTGCTCATGTCTGGTCTGGTTTTAATACCCAACGTCGTGAGTCTCAGAAAATCCTTCTATTCTGATCATAACAGCATGCAGTTACTGCTCATCCCAGCAGTCCCCTTGGCTGAAATCAGGACATATGCTGGCCAACAAGCCTTTGCCACATCACCTTTATTTTATAGTATTTGCTGGACAGAAGATGGAATGATTGACAGCCCTGCACCTCTTTCACAAATTCCCAAGCCCAATGGGAGGAGGAAACTGGGAGAGTGTGAGGAAAGGGGTAGTAACATTGTCCAAAAGAATGTACTCTACCTGACTTATGTAACTGTAACGCCCTCTATATATCAACTTTATAATAACAATTTTTTTTTAATTCCCAGCCCAGCCAGGCACTGGTGGCTCATGCTTGTAATCCTAGCTACTCAGGAGGCTGAGATCTGAAGATCGCTGTTTGAAGTCAGCTGGGGCAGGACAATCCATGAGACTCTTATCTCCAATTAACCACTAGAAAACCAGAAATGGAGCTGTGGCTTAAAGTGATAGAGTGCTAGTATTGAGCACAAAAGTTCAGGGACAGTGTCCAGATCTACAACCACCACCACCACCAACAACAAAAATCCCCCAGCCCCCTAGTTGCCACTACCACTTGGCAATTCTGCTCAGGGAAAACTCTTAGGTATTTCCCCCCAGAAGACAGGCAGGTGTTCCTTCCTGCCCCTCTTCCTCTGTGCAGACATATACAAAAACATCCTCTGGTTTTAGGGGGCCCAACTCCACTGTCTCCACAAGTAGAGCCAGGGTATGTGATGTCCGTTGATGCAGGGTTGGGGTAGATTAAGTTGAGTGTGAGGCTAATGTCAAAAGGAGGTTGTGGGCCTTGTGTCAACTGGCCACCAGATGAGCAGCCAAGGGCAGAATGGTAGCCACCAACAAGGGTAAAGTACCTCGCCCCCATTCACCTCTGAAGGTTATAGTCACAGTCAGCGTGGGATGCTGGGAGCCTTTGCTGGGAGTCTGTTTTTACACCTGTTGTTTCTAGGATGGAGCACAGCTATGGGCTGACTGTACCCAGGGGCCTGGATGGAGCCAGAGACATATGGGGAGTTTCTAACCAGCACCTGCTCAGCCCTTCCTTGAAGAGCCCTCTGCTTGTGGAGACTCTTACCTGCCAGAAGACAGTGGATGCCAGCGTCTGGTTGGGCAAGAGAAGACCCACGACCTGAGACCGGGAAAGAAAGGCAAAGGCTGAGCTTAGAAGACAAGAGAGACACCCACACTTTTGTTTTTGTTTCTTTGCTGGTCCTGGAGCTTGAACTCAGGCCCTGGTACTATCCTTGAACTTCTTTTACTCAAGGCTGGGGCTCTACCATTTGAGCCCCAGTGCCACTTCCAGCCTTTCTGTGTAGTTCACTGGAGATAAGAGTCTCACAAACTTTTCTACCCAAGATGTCCTTGAACCATGATCCTCAGATCTCAACTGCCTGAGTAGCTAGAATTACAAGCATGAGCTACCAGCCCCCAACTTGTGTGTGTGTGTGTGTGTGTGTGTGTATACGTGCAGCAAACAAACCAAAGGAACTTCCACTCAGGAAATCTGAACTTCTTCATGCCCTGCCTGTCCCATAAAATTTTTGTGAGGATGAAATACAAGTTATATCAAAGGTTTTTTTTTTTTTTTTTTTTTTTTTTATGGTCTTGGGGCTTGAACTCTGGGCCTAGGCACTTTCCCTGAACAACTCAGCTCAAGGTTAGCACTCTACCACTTGAGCCACAGCGCCACTTCCAGCTTTTTCTGCTTATGTGGTGCTGGGGAATTGAACCCCTGGCCTCATGCATGTGAGGCACGCACTCTTACCACTGAGCCACCTTCCCAGCCCCAATATATCAAAGGTTTTTAAGAGGTTCCTAAATAGAATTTGGGAGAATTTCTGTTATCGCTGACTCCATGAAGCAAGAATTTACACCATGTTTAATCTATTGAATGAAAATGTCTAAAAAGTAGGTGTTGAGTGAAAGAAAGAATGAATGAATAAATAAATAAATAAAGCACACATAGGTTAAGTATGATTATAAAGGTGTGGATTTGTTATTCTCAAAGGCCAAACAGACTTACTGACTGCTTTTTGCTTTATGCTGAAACTAATTGTGTGATCTTGACACTGGCACATATTGGCCTTCAGAGACATACGTGTGCCTCTCCAGTTTATCTTGTGAGTGAGTATTTGTGTGCAAAATAACATCTACCAAGTACCACTGCATATGGGGAAAATGTGCACAACCATCCACATATTGACGTATTTATTATTCCTGTAGATAAAATGGCTCTTTGGCAAGAATTTCTGTAAAGAACGAGTATAAACATTCAATACTATGCAGTAAATCAAATTCTAGACATCCTCAGCAGCATTAGTAAATCATGTTTTAAACATTAAAATGTTTTAAAACAGCAAATGCATACGCACATTTCTATTTATTGGCCCATACCAGTTTGAATAAAATTATATAATGTAAAGCCACTCCATAGCTCCAATGAGGAATTATCTTATGAGATTTCTCTCCCAGAATAAGATCTCTATTTGTTCTTCTCTATGGTGGCAGCTGAGGGACTTGGACTGAAAGCCATGGGATCTTGGGTTTCAGAATCCCTTGTCTGTGACAGGTTCCACATGGGTCTCTCCACAAGAGAACCATGTATACCTCCTAGTCAGAACAAGCTGGCTGCTGGTGGCTCATGTCTATAATCCTAGATGCTCATGAGGTTGAGACTAGAGGATCAAGGTTCAAAGCCAGCCCAGACAGGAAAATCTGTGAGACTCTTATCTCCAATTAACTACCAAAAAGCCAGAAGTAAAGCTGTGGCTCAAGTAGTAGCTGAGCAATAACACTAGGGACAGAACCCAGGCTCTGAGTTCAAGCCCCAGTATCTGCACCAAAAAGAGAAAGGGGGGAGGGGAAGGAACACTGTGCTTCTGGTGGGGAACAGTGGGGAGATGACTAGATGGTTCCTATCACAGTAAACACAAAGACCACACAAGGAGGTGTTTGAGAATGTCTTTCATAATAGCTAGGAAAATGACAAGATGGCTTAAGGAGGCATGAGGTGTGTGCAAAGTTGATTGATTCTAACATCCAAATAGTCCAGGAGGGACAGCTTACTGGACTCTGACTGTCTTCTGAAAAAAAAAGAAAGAATTCTGAGGAGGTGAGAGGTGTGTGTGTGTGTGTATGTGTGTGTGAGAGAGAGAGAGAAAGAGAGAGACAGACAGACAGACAGACAGTCTTCTGAAAAAAAAAGAAAGAATTCAGAGGAGGTGAGAGGTGTGTGTGTGTGTGTGTGTGAGAGAGAGAGAGACAGACAGACAGACAGACAGTCTTCTGAAAAAAAAAAAAGAAAATTCAGAGGAGGTGAGAGGTGTGTGTGTGTATGTGTGTGTGTGTGTGTGTGTGTGTGTGTGTGAGAGAGAGAGAGAGAGAGAGAGAGAGAGAGAGACAGACAGACAGACAGACAGACAGACAGAGAGCGTGCTGGGACAGTGGGAGACATCCTGGTCTGACAGGAGGAATTCTGGGAAGCTAGCAGAAGGCAGAGTGAGTGAGTTAGGGGGCAGCAAGCATCCCACCGTGTTGTCCAAATGGGGCCCTGGGGAGCCATTTGGGGCTGATGCTGGACAGCAGGGATCCTGCCCTCCAGGTCTATACAGCCAGGCGGGCACCAGCAGCAGGCGATGGCAGCCCCATTCCCTATTAGGCAAAATGCAGTACCATCTGCACAATCCCAGGAGCAAGAGCAGATATTTTATAACTTCCTTTTTCTTTTTAAGTCTACATTAAAAATAAATGTTCCCTTCAGCTCTCAGATGTATATCTCTGGTGCAACCTGCCCACATTCCCTCCCGCTGCCCTTTCCAGAACATGGCAGGGGGAAGAAAGAGATGGATAGAGAGAGGGAGCCAGTCCACCCGGCTCCAATGCCAGTGGATCGCACCTCTTCCAAGAGGGAAGCGCAGCAGGCGTGGCCGCGCAGACGGTGGAGAGCGCCCAGAATGCGCTGCTACCAGGGAAAGTGGAAGAAGGAAGCAGGAGCCAATAGCTAGGATTTCTACCCAGCCTCCACCCTATCTTGCTGCAGGACCTTGGCCAAATCGCACATCCTGTCTTTGCTCCCATTTATAGTTCGTACCATGGCTGAAGTCCCCTCTGCAGCTCCAGCCCCTTCATGGCTGTCCTCTACGCACATGTCCCCTATGCACCTTTGTGGTCCCCATCCACAACAGTGTCTGTGGACCCTACAGACTAACATTCGGGCTCTGGTCACCAAATGCTGGTGTCAGTATCAACCCAAGGCTAGTTACTTGAGCTCTCTTTGTGCCTCTGTTTCTTTATCTGTTCAATGGAAGATAGTCCTGGTGCCTCTGGAGATGATCAGGAAAGGAAGTAAGGCAGTTTGAGCAACATTCCTCAACCCTTGCCTTCTTCCTTTCCAGCTTTTGCTGCCCTGTCTGAGACCTCAACCTGCTTTACACACCCAAGCAGCAACTTTGAACACAAGTCTTGGACTTGAAAGGACGCTGACCCCTATAGACAGAATCAAGGCTCCTATCACCTAAAGCATAGGCACAGGGATGGATCCCTGCTTGGCTGGAAGAACATGGCTACCTCAGTGTGAACTACAGTGAACACTTCATGACCAGGATAAAAACCGCTGGTGGGCTGAGACAATGATACATCATCCATAGCGTCCTCATTCCAGTCACCATGGGCCTTTGGGAAGGGCATATTGAATATGTGGTGCTGACTCCAGTGACACCCCAAAACCTTTGCCACTGCCTCTCAGGATGGGGGTGTTCTTTGTTGGTGGCTCTGTCAGACCATTTGACCTGCTTTGGAGACTAAGGTCCAAGGAGACTAAGCAACAGGAGGAGCAGAGGCCAGGCAGGTCTGCCAACTCCAGCTGACCCCCAGATGAGCAGTGACAAGCAAAACCATCTCTGCCAAAACTTATTTACATCAGGTTGACCATGGTCAACTGTGGGTCCCTAAGAATGAATGTTTACAGCACCCTTGAAATTCTGAGGATGTTCTTTTACACAGCACCCTAGCAGCCTTTGCTAAGTGAGCTAGGGGTATCATGTATGGAGATTGACTCTGCTGTCCTTGGTGTAAAATTTTGTATGGTGACTAATGCTCCTTGCATTATATCTTCGTTAGTGCTGCTGCTCATCACCTCCCTATGCAGGGCCCCTAGCCCAGCCCTGGGGCTACTTAGCATACCAGGCAAAGGGACAGTCAGAGCACTGTGGCTCATGCTTGTAATCCTAGCTACTCAGGAGGCTGAGATCTGAGAATTGTGGTTCAAAGTCATCCCAGGCTAGAAAGTCTGTGAGACTCTCATCTCCAATTAACCACCAAACAGCCAGATGTGGAGATGTGGCTCAAAGTGGTAGAGCACTAGCTTTGAGCAGAAAAGCTTAGGGATGGCACCCAGGCCAAGTGTAAGCCCCAGGTCTGACAAAAAGCAAAAAGAAAAAGAAGAAAAGCCACATCTTCACGCCAGCCTTCTCCTTTCAAGTCTTAACCACTGCACATTAGATGAGTGTCAGTCTATAAGAGTGACATGCCCACTCCCTATCACTCCTGGCTTCCTGGTCAGGGGCTGTTGAAGAAAAGGGCAGAGAAGCAAGGCCCCAGGCCATAACTTTGTGTGCTATGATATCTGGCCTCAGAGAGAACTGAACAGCCCCCACTCCTGAGCCAACCTCCCATACAAGCCTGAATCCAGTGATGGAAAGATTGTTAAAGTGTGGGAAACCTAGAAAGGAAATAGGGTATATGTGAAAACAATTGGGTGGTGAGACTTACGCCAGGAGAAGACCAGGGTACGAAATTATCATAGTTGCCAAGAAAATAGCATTTCCACTTTGCCAATCTTTCCTTCTGGCTTCAATCTAATTGTTGCCTCCTCCAGGAAGCCCCCACTCTCCAGCACCTGTATCTTCTCTGCAGTATCCACCTTAGAGGTACCTGTTTGTGGTCTATCTTCCTGGAGAGATGCCTTCAGTTTTAGAGTGGGGAGAGTTCAAAGCTGCTCACAGACCTGGGTCCTCACTGGAAAAGCATCATTTCTTCAGAACTGTCCTCCTCCTCCTCCTCACCTCACGCATCCACTTCCCAGTTCTCTGAAAGCCCTCCCCAGGGCCCTAGTACCCAGCGATTTGCCAG